CCGAACCCCTAGGGACCTATTTTCTGAGTCTCAGATTCGAAATCAGTTGAGATTTCTACCCTTTAACCATATATACAATTGCTGAGTACATGTATAAAGAAACGAATGCACATATGCTTCAATGATGGCCCCGGGATTCTGCCCCACACTAGGAGACTTAACCCCTGGGTCATAACTTCGTTAAGATCCCACTATCAAAACTACATAAACAATCGATGGGTATAAAGAGACGAACGCAGTCATGATATTAGAATTGACCCTGGGGTCTGGCCCCACCCTTGGAGACATAGTCCTGGGGTCATAACCTTGAAACGGTTGAGATCCCCACCCCAAAACTATGTATACAAATGATGGGCATAAATAGACAAATGCAGTCATGATATTAGAATTGACGTTGGGGTTAGGCCAAACCCCTAGGGACCTCGTTTCTGAGTCACAGCTTTGAAACAGTTGATATCCCCATCATATAGCCATATATGCAATTGCTGAGTAGAATGAGACGAATGCACATATGCCTCAATGATGGTCCCGGGGTCTGCCCCACCACGTGAGACTAAACCCCTGGGTCACAACTTTGAAACGGTTGAGATCCCCACCCCAAAACTATATATACAAATGCTGGGCATAAAGAGACGAATGGAGTCATGATATTAGAATTGATCCTTGTGTCTGGCCACAACTCTGGTGACCTGGTTTCTGGGTCACAACTTGGAAACAGTTGAGCTCCCCACCTTACAACCATCCATACACTTGCTGAGCATGAAAAATCTAATACAGATATGCTACGAGGATTGGCCTTGGGTTCTGGCCCATTCCCTGGGATCTTATTTTGAGAATATTTTGCGATGATTGCTTAGATATCAAGGTGAGCGATACAGGCTTTGAGCCTCTATTTTGTTTGGCCTTGTAGTCTGGCCCATTCCCTTGGATCTTATTTTGAAAATATTTTGCCGCGATTGCTTAGATATCCAGGTGAGCGATACAGGCCCTCTGAGCTTCTTGTTCTGTTATACCCTCAATATAGCTTAATTTTCTCTAATCATATTGTTTCAGTAAAATCTAGCGTACATGAGTCTAGCGTGTCTTTAAAATATGCACATGTGGCGCGTGAACAGACACCACATGTTCAATTTCTCTCAAATAATACATAAAACATCAAATGTGGCTTGAAAGCATTTTGTCCCAATGTATTGACGTGGGGGTATATTTTTCCTGGTGTGTTGACGTGGTGGTATATTTTGTCCTGGGGGGTTGACGTGGGGGTATATTTTGTCCTGATATGTTGACGTGGTGGTATATTTTGTCCTGATATGTTCATGTGGTATATTTTGTCCTGATATGTTGATGTGGTATGGACTGCGATAATACTGTTCTGATGTATATATTTTGTCCTGGTGTGTTGACGTGGTGGTATATTTTGTCCTGATATGTTCATGTGGTATATTTTGTCCTGATATGTTGATGTGGTATATTTTTCCTGGTGTGTTGACGTGGTGGTATATTTTTCCTGGTGTGTTGATGTGGTATATTTTTCCTGGTGTGTTGACGTTGTGGTATATTTTCCTGTTGTGTTGACGTGATGGTATTTTATGTCCCGATGTGTTAGCACACTGTTATATTTTCCTGTTATATTGACGTAATGGTACATTGTCATGTGTAGATATGGAGGTATATTTTTTCCTGGTTCATTAAAGCGATGGTATATTTTTTGTCGTGATATGTTTAACGTGGTATTTTTTGTTTTTGTGTTGGGACGGAAGTATATGTGTTCATGGTGTGTTGACGCTGTATACTTTGTATCACTTTTTACATCAAATTGGAATCTGTACTGATGAGAACTAATGGTTATGCTTGCTATGAATACACAAATATACCGTGAATATATGTATGAGACAATGATTGGTGGATAAACTGATTTTATTACAAACACATAGAATATTACCATAGTGATATTGTCAGTGTAAGACCATGTAATACAAGGTTCTGTATTTTGTACAGCAATAATACATGATGTTGTGTTATCCCTACAGACCATGTAATACAAGGTTCTGTGTTTTGTACAGCGATAATACACGATGTTGTGTTATCCCTACAGACCATGTAATACAAGGTTCTGTGTTTTGGACTGCGATAATACACGATGTTGTGTTACCCCTACAGACCATGTAATACAAGGTTCTGTGTTTTAGACTGCGATAATACACGATGTTGTGTTACCCCTACAGACCATGTAATACAAGGTTCTGTGTTTTGGACTGCGATAATACACGATGTTGTGTTACCCCTACAGACCATGTAATACAAGGTTCTGTGTTTTAGACTGCGATAATACACGATGTTGTGTTACCCCTACAGACCATGTAATACAAGGTTCTGTGTTTTGGACTGCGATAATACACGATGTTGTGTTACCCCTACAGACCATGTAATACAAGGTTCTGTGTTTTGGACTGCGATAATACACGATGTTGTGTTACCCCTACAGACCATGTAATACAAGGTTCTGTGTTTTAGACTGCGATAATACACGATGTTGTGTTACCCCTACAGACCATGTAATACAAGGTTCTGTGTTTTGGACTGCGATAATACACGATGTTGTGTTACCCCTACAGACCATGTAATACAAGGTTCTGTGTTTTGGACTGCGATAATACACGATGTTGTGTTACCCCTACAGACCATGTAATACAAGGTTCTGTGTTTTGGACTGCGATAATACACGATGTTGTGTTACCCCTACAGACCATGTAATACAAGGTTCTGTGTTTTAGACTGCGATAATACACGATGTTGTGTTACCCCTACAGACCATGTAATACAAGGTTCTGTGTTTTGGACTGCGATAATACACGATGTTGTGTTACCCCTACAGACCATGTAATACAAGGTTCTGTGTTTTGGACAGCGATAATACACGATGTTGTGTTATCCCTACAGACCATGTAATACAAGGTTCTGTGTTTTGGACTGCGATAATACACGATGTTGTGTTACCCCTACAGACCATGTAATACAAGGTTCTGTGTTTTGGACTGCGATAATACACGATGTTGTGTTACCCCTACAGACCATGTAATACAAGGTTCTGTGTTTTGGACTGCGATAATACACGATGTTGTGTTACCCCTACAGACCATGTAATACAAGGTTCTGTGTTTTGGACTGCGATAATACACGATGTTGTGTTACCCCTACAGACCATGTAATACAAGGTTCTGTGTTTTGGACTGCGATAATACACGATGTTGTGTTACCCCTACAGACCATGTAATACAAGGTTCTGTGTTTTGGACTGCGATAATACACGATGTTGTGTTACCCCTACAGACCATGTAATACAAGGTTCTGTGTTTTGGACTGCGATAATACACGATGTTGTGTTACCCCTACAGACCATGTAATACAAGGTTCTGTGTTTTGGACTGCGATAATACACGATGTTGTGTTACCCCTACAGACCATGTAATACAAGGTTCTGTGTTTTGGACTGCGATAATACACGATGTTGTGTTACCCCTACAGACCATGTAATACAAGGTTCTGTGTTTTGGACTGCGATAATACACGATGTTGTGTTACCCCTACAGACCATGTAATACAAGGTTCTGTGTTTTGGACTGCGATAATACACGATGTTGTGTTACCCCTACAGACCATGTAATACAAGGTTCTGTGTTTTGGACTGCGATAATACACGATGTTGTGTTACCCCTACAGACCATGTAATACAAGGTTCTGTGTTTTGGACTGCGATAATACACGATGTTGTGTTACCCCTACAGACCATGTAATACAAGGTTCTGTGTTTTGGACTGCGATAATACACGATGTTGTGTTACCCCTACAGACCATGTAATACAAGGTTCTGTGTTTTGGACTGCGATAATACACGATGTTGTGTTACCCCTACAGACCATGTAATACAAGGTTCTGTGTTTTGTACAGCGATAATACACGATGTTGTTTTACCCCTACATACCATGTAATACAAGGTTCTGTGTTTTGTACAGCGATAATACACGATGTTGTTTTACCCCTACATACCATGTAATACAAGGTTCTGTGTTTTGGACAGCGATAATACACGATGTTGTGTTACCATGTAATACAAGGTTCTGTGTTTTGTACAGCGATAATACACGATGTTGTTTTACCCCTACATACCATGTAATACAAGGTTCTGTGTTTTGGACAGCGATAATACACGATGTTGTGTTACCATGTAATACAAGGTTCTGTGTTTTGTACAGCGATAATACACGATGTTGTTTTACCCCTACATACCATGTAATACAAGGTTCTGTGTTTTGTACAGCGATAATACACGATGTTGTGTCACCGATACAGACCATGTAATACAAGGTTCTGTGTTTTGGACAGCGATAATACACGATGTTGTGTTACCCCTACAGACCATTTAATACAAGGTTCTGTGTTTTGGACTGCGATAATACACGACGTTGTGTTACCCCTACAGACCATGTAATACAAGGTTCTGTGTTTTGGACTGCGATAATACACGATGTTATGTTACCCCTTTAAGGCCCCCGTCTCTTTAGTATTGAATAATTTTGATCACTTGGATGTCTGATTCTCAAATTAGGGGAGATAAGCTGGTAGTAAAAGGCAGGTGGGGAATTCTTCATAAAAACCCTATGGGCTGGTAGTCAGTCTATATTACCTCAGTGACCAGATCCCCCTTTTGGCTATGATTCGGTTACAGTTCCACAGTTCAAACAGGATACATATAAGTACGTCATATCTCTACAACAATGATTGGTAAATAAGAGGGTAAGAGGGTACATTGACATTAAATATACAAGAATAAAAGTGAGAACATTTGTTCTATGTTATTATCAGCGGATCAATACATCTACTTCAAACGTAAACAGAACTAATACGTCAATATGGCCAATAATGGGCATACACAATACATAGTATTTGAGTTCTACCCAATAGCAAGCAAAAACATCCCTTAGTTTGAGCGTTCGCCCAAGTGAGGAAGACAATGAATTTTGTCCCTAGAAATGGTAGTTATTTCCTGCTTACCGTTCAGCGCTATGATGTCAGTATAATGTGACCGGGCGGGATAGTTTACCGGAGTGTCCTCGGCGTGGTGTTTCAGTGAGGTAGCAATATCAAGTCGTGATCAGATTACTCACATACACTCGTACATTAAATGCATGGAGGCACGTCCTTAAATGACTTTAGATGTTAATATGACGTTAAACCTAAATAAAACCAATCAAACCAACGCTGATGGAGAAAAAAGACGAAATCGACGTGTGCACACGGGTTTAACTTCGGCGTACTACCGGTACTTTCGGCTCTGTATCTACATGAAGATTGGACAGTAGAAGAAGGGTAGGTGTCCCGTTCGATGACTTTCCAACACGATTACTTTTCTATGAAACCAATTTAACTACAGACTGTAATATTTAATTTGTTATTCTACAGATAACCACCCAAGGCTATACAGGGACAGAAGATGATGGACTTTTCGTATGGTAAATGTTCGCTAAAGCTACACCCAGCGTCGGCCTTCCTAGTTCTTATACTGTGTTCTGGTGTTCTGCTTTTGTATCAGGTAAGAAAACATACAGATAGAAGACAACGTGACAATACAAGAAAAAGCGTTTCTTCAAGTGCTATTCCATACTATTACCGTATCTACACCGTCACAATATACACCGTAATATTAAAATCAAACACCCCATATTGTAAGTATACACCGCCATATTGTAAGTATACACCGCCATATTGTAAGTATACACCGCCATATTATAATAAACAGCGTCATATTATAATTCTACCCCGTCATCTTATAACTGTACACCGTCATATTATAAATCTACATCGTCACATTATAATTATAAACAGCCATATTATAATTATACAACGCCATATTATAATTATACACCGCCATATTATAATTATATACCGTCATATTATAATAAACAGCGTCACATTATAATTCTACACCGTCATATTATAATTCTACACAGTCATATTATAATTCTATATCGTCATATAATTGAACCCAGTCATATTATAATTATACACCGTCAGATTATGATTCTACACCGTCACATAATTCTACAACGTCATATCATAAATCTACACTATCGCATTATAATTCAACACCGTCACATTATAATTCTACAACGTCGACGTCATATCACAATTATACACTATTACATTATAATTCTACACCGTTACATTATAATTCTACAACGTCATATTACAATTATACACTATTACATTATAATTCTAAACCGTCACATTATAATTCTACAACGTCATATCACAATTATACACTATTACATTATAATTCTACACTATTACATTATAATTCTACACCGTCACATTATAATTCTACAACGTCACATTATAATTCTACAACGTCATATCACAATTCTACACTATCACATTATAATTCTACACCGTCACATTATAATTCTACAACGTCATATCACAATTATACACTATCACATTATAATTCTACACTATCACATTATAATTCTACACCCTCAAATATAATTGCACAACGTCATATTATAATTCCATAGCCAATTGTTAAAATTTAAGTATAATTTTAGCACGTGTACGTGCATCTATAGTTATAGTATGTATACATGTATATATGTTCTGCTATAGTTGTATTATATGTACATGGACGTTCTGTGGTAGTTGTATTATGTGTACATGGACGTTCTGTGGTAGTTGTATTATGTGTACATGAACGTTCTGTTATGGTTGTATTATGTGTACATGTACGTTCTGCTATAGTTGTAGTATGTGTACATGTACGTTCTGCTATAGTTGTATTATGTGTACATGTACGTCCTGCTGTAGTTGTATTATGTGTACATGTACGTCCTGCTGTAGTTGTATTATATGTACATGGACGTTTTGCTATAGTTGTATTATGTGTACATGGACGTTCTGCTATAGTTGTATTATGTGTACATGTACGTTCTGCTGTAGTGGTATAATATGTACATATACGTTCTGATGTATTTGTATTATGTGTACATGTACGTTCTGATGTAGTTGTATTATGTGTACATGGACGTTCTGCTATAGTTGTATTATGTGTACATGTACGTTCTGCTGTAGTTGTATTATGTGTACATGTACGTTCTGCTATAGTTGTATTATGTGTACATGTACGTTCTGCTATAGTTGTATTATGTGTACATGTACGTTCTGCTATAGTTGTATTATGTGTACATGTACGTTCTGCTATAGTTGTATTATGTGTACATGTACGTTCTGCTATAGTTGTATTATGTGTACATGTACGTTCTGCTATAGTTGTATTATGTGTACATGTACGTTCTGCTATAGTTGTATTATGTGTACATGTACGTTCTGCTATAGTTGTATTATGTGTACATGTACGTTCTGCTATAGTTGTATTATGTGTACATGTACGTTCTGCTATAGTTGTATTATGTGTACATGTACGTTCTGCTATAGTTGTATTATGTGTACATGTACGTTCTGCTATAGTTGTATTATGTGTACATGTACGTTCTGCTATAGTTGTATTATGTGTACATGTACGTTCTGCTATAGTTGTATTATGTGTACATGTACGTTCTGCTATAGTTGTATTATGTGTACATGTACGTTCTGCTATAGTTGTATTATGTGTACATGTACGTTCTGCTATAGTTGTATTATGTGTACATGTACGTTCTGCTATAGTTGTATTATGTGTACATGTACGTTCTGCTATAGTTGTATTATGTGTACATGTACGTTCTGCTATAGTTGTATTATGTGTACATGTACGTTCTGCTATAGTTGTATTATGTGTACATGTACGTTCTGCTATAGTTGTATTATGTGTACATGTACGTTCTGCTATAGTTGTATTATGTGTACATGTACGTTCTGCTATAGTTGTATTATGTGTACATGTACGTTCTGCTATAGTTGTATTATGTGTACATGTACGTTCTGCTATAGTTGTATTATGTGTACATGTACGTTCTGCTATAGTTGTATTATGTGTACATGTACGTTCTGCTATAGTTGTATTATGTGTACATGTACGTTCTGCTATAGTTGTATTATGTGTACATGTACGTTCTGCTATAGTTGTATTATGTGTACATGTACGTTCTGCTATAGTTGTATTATGTGTACATGTACGTTCTGCTATAGTTGTATTATGTGTACATGTACGTTCTGCTATAGTTGTATTATGTGTACATGTACGTTCTGCTATAGTTGTATTATGTGTACATGTACGTTCTGCTATAGTTGTATTATGTGTACATGTACGTTCTGCTATAGTTGTATTATGTGTACATGTACGTTCTGCTATAGTTGTATTATGTGTACATGTACGTTCTGCTATAGTTGTATTATGTGTACATGTACGTTCTGCTATAGTTGTATTATGTGTACATGTACGTTCTGCTATAGTTGTATTATGTGTACATGTACGTTCTGCTATAGTTGTATTATGTGTACATGTACGTTCTGCTATAGTTGTATTATGTGTACATGTACGTTCTGCTATAGTTGTATTATGTGTACATGTACGTTCTGCTATAGTTGTATTATGTGTACATGTACGTTCTGCTATAGTTGTATTATGTGTACATGTACGTTCTGCTATAGTTGTATTATGTGTACATGTACGTTCTGCTATAGTTGTATTATGTGTACATGTACGTTCTGCTATAGTTGTATTATGTGTACATGTACGTTCTGCTATAGTTGTATTATGTGTACATGTACGTTCTGCTATAGTTGTATTATGTGTACATGTACGTTCTGCTATAGTTGTATTATGTGTACATGTACGTTCTGCTATAGTTGTATTATGTGTACATGTACGTTCTGCTATAGTTGTATTATGTGTACATGTACGTTCTGCTATAGTTGTATTATGTGTACATGTACGTTCTGCTATAGTTGTATTATGTGTACATGTACGTTCTGCTATAGTTGTATTATGTGTACATGTACGTTCTGCTATAGTTGTATTATGTGTACATGTACGTTCTGCTATAGTTGTATTATGTGTACATGTACGTTCTGCTATAGTTGTATTATGTGTACATGTACGTTCTGCTATAGTTGTATTATGTGTACATGTACGTTCTGCTATAGTTGTATTATGTGTACATGTACGTTCTGCTATAGTTGTATTATGTGTACATGTACGTTCTGCTATAGTTGTATTATGTGTACATGTACGTTCTGCTATAGTTGTATTATGTGTACATGTACGTTCTGCTATAGTTGTATTATGTGTACATGTACGTTCTGCTATAGTTGTATTATGTGTACATGTACGTTCTGCTATAGTTGTATTATGTGTACATGTACGTTCTGCTATAGTTGTATTATGTGTACATGTACGTTCTGCTATAGTTGTATTATGTGTACATGGACGTTCTGCTATAGTTGTATTATGTGTACATGTACGTTTTGCTATAGTTGTATTATGTGTACATGGACGTTCTGCTATAGTTGTATTATGTGTACATGTACGTCCTGCTATAGTTGTATTATGTGTACATGTACGTTTTGCTATAGTTGTATTATGTGTACATGGACGTTCCTATGTAATTGTATTATGTGTACATGTACGTCCTGCTATAGTTGTATAATGTGTACATGTACGTTCTGATGTAATTGTATTATGTGTACATTGACGTTCTGCTATAGTTGTATTATGTGTACATGTACGTTTTGCTATAGTTGTATTATGTGTACATGTACGTTTTGCTATAGTTGTATTATGTGTACATGTACGTTCTGATGTTGTGGTATAATGTGTACATGTACGTTCTGATGTTTTTGTATTATGTGTACATGGACGTTTTGCTATAGTTTTATTATGTGTACATGGACGTTCTGCTGTAGTTGTATTATGTGTACATGGACGTTCCTATGTAGTTGTATTATGTGTACATGTACGTTCTGATGTAATTGTATTATGTGTATATGTACGTTCTGCTATAGTTGTATTAGGTGTTCATGTACGTTCTGCTTTAGTTGTATTATGTGTACATGTACGATCTGCTATAGTAGTATTATGTGTACATGTACGTTCTGCTTTAGTTGTATTATGTGTACATGTACGTTCTGATGTAATTGTATTATGTGTACATGGACGTTCTGCTATAGTTGTATTATGTGTACATATACGTTCTGCTATCGTTGTATTATGTGTACATGGACGTTTTGCTATAGTTTTATTATGTGTTCATGTACGTTTTGCTATAATTTTATTATGTGTACATGGACGTTTTGCTATAGTTGTATTATGTGTACATGTACGTTTTGCTATAGTTTTATTATGTGTACATGGACGTTTTGCTATAGTTGTATTATGTGTAAATATACGTCTTGCTATAGTTTTATTATGTGTAGATGGACGTTTTGCTATAGTTGTATTGTGTGTACATATACGTTCTGCTTTAGTTGTATTATGTGTACACGTACGTTCTGCTATATTTGTCTTATGTGTACATGTACGTCCTGATGTAATTGTATTATGTGTACACGTACGTTCTGCTATAGTTGTGGAAAAAATTCCCCGCTACCAAGAAACTTTTTCCAACCTTTAAAAAAAAAAAAAAAATCCCCACCCATTTTACCCTCCCGACTACAAATTATGACTCTCTTTGATATATGTTTTTTGTTATTTATATTAGTTAAGTATTTTTATCTTTCCACGTAGTATTACATAGATCCTTTTTGGTACGTCCTGCTATAGTTGTATCATGGGGATATGTACGTTCTGCTATTGTTGTATTATGTGTATATGTACGTTCTGATGGAATTGTATTATGTGTACACGTACGTTCTGCTATAGTTGTCTTATGTGTACATATACGCTCTGCTATAGTTGTACTATGTGTACATGTACTTTTTGCTATAGTTTTATTATGTGTTCATGTACGTTTTGCTATAATTTTATTATGTGTACATGTCCGTTCTGCTGTAGTTGTATTATGCGTACATGTACGTTCTACTGTAGTTGTATTATGAGTACATGTACGTTCTACTGTAGTTGTATTATGCGTACATGTACGTTCTGCTGTAGTTCTATTATGTGTACATGTCCGTTCTGCTATAGTTTTATTATGTGTTCATGTCCGTTCTGCTATAGTTGTATTATGTGTACATATACGTTCTGCTATAGTTGTGGAACAAATTCCACGCTACCAAGAAACTTTTTCCAACCATTTAAAAAAAAAAAAAAAAATTCCCAACCATATTACACTCCCGACTACAAATTATGACTCTCTTTGATATATGTTATTTGTTATTTATATTAGTTAAGTATTTTTATCTTTCCACGTAGTATTACATAGATCCTTTTTGAGCTATCGATCGTGTTTACTATTTTATTTCAAATAATTAGGGTTGATATATCTGTGTTTGGACGTTTTGTGTATCCTAACACGCCAGCGAGGTGTACTTATGTACTGTTTGTAATATGTGAGAATTGCTCTTACGTCCATCCTTTATTACTTATAGGAGAGGTATCACACGGAGAGCATGACACTCAACCGTAGTCCAAAATATGTTCCTAGCCAAACTGAACAAAATATTAAATCGAACCCTAACGAAAACCAAAGTGTACATGTAGTTACCATGCAGACAAAGAATACGTCGTCAATAAGGAATCTAAATGTTTTGAAAACGTCTCCAAACCCTACCAAAGGACCTTCCAGCATGTCAGCAAAACCAGCGAGCACCATTACCAGAGTCGTATCAGTAAGTACACCTGTCATACCTGTATCACTGGAGGGCTATGTGGTTCCAAGGTGGTCACAATCACAGGAATATAAGTTAGTGTGATACTGTTTGACTCGAGAGTTATGCTTTTCTGGTACTTTATTGTTATTCCTCCTTTCCTACACTGAACAATGAACTGTCCAAGTGTCACACTATAATGAGTGAGGATTGCGTATTGCTTGCATTATTGTTTAATTTTTACTCACAATTCTGTATACGTTGTTTAAATCATTAAAAAGTTGACAATTTGACATACTTGGATCAGATCTAGATGTTTATGTCTTAACATGTTCGCCTCTATTTTCGCATGATTATATTGTCTGTTTACCTGGTGCTTTGTGTATTGCCTATATACCTTTCTTAACTTGGTGCTACATGTATGTATATTTTCTTTATACCTGGCCTACATTGGTGCTCTGCATATTATATACATGTATATACCTAACCTACCTATGAGCTATATACATTGTAGATACATCCGACTTACCTTGTTGCTATGCATATTGTCCAAATATCATAATTCACTTGTATGTTAATTGTTCATGTACCTAACTTACCTTGGTGCTTTATATATTCCCTACATAGCTGACCTACCTTGATGCTATGTATATTGTCTATATACCTGACTTACCTTGGTGCTATGTATATTGCCTATATATATGAATTACCGTGGTGCTATGTATATTGCATAAATATCTGACTTATGCTTATTGCCTATATACCTGATTTACCTTGGTGCTTTTTATATTGTCTATATATCCGGTTTATCATTGTGCTACGTGTATTGCCGACATGATACATTTGTTGTTTAGGTCATGATCTCACATGTTACTATTTATCAATAGAGAACAAATCCTGTGATGAGTGAGTGCGTGAAATCCCAGGCCCCGCCCGACAGTAACTACCTCCGTGATGCCCTCCTCATTGGGAGGTTGCCCTCCAAAGCAGAAATGTGCGTCATGTCAGTAGCGCATCTAGACACATTAATGCAAGCGTAAGTAACTCCTTTTGTAGGTTTTCATTTTTTTCTTTCTTAAATGCAGATACATTTTGCTTAGGTACAATTTGTATCCGAGCGATAATCAACACTGTAAGGGGAGATAATGTGCCTGAACTGTTTGTAGGTATCCGAGAGATACACACCACTGTAAGGGGAGATACTGTCTCTGTTTGTAGATGTCCGAGCGATAAACAACACTGTAAGGGGAGATAATGTCTCTGTTTGTAGGTATCCGATATATATATATATATCCACCACTGTAAGGGGAGATACTGGAGCTGTTTGTAGGTGTCCGAGCGATAAACAACACTGTAAGGGGAGATAATGTCTCTGTTTGTAGGTATCCGAGAGATACATAACCCTGTAAGGGGAGATGATGTCTCTGTTTGTAGGTGTCCGAGCGATAAACAACACTGTAAGGGGAGATAATGTCTCTGTTTGTAGGTATCCGAGAGATACATAACACTGTAAGGGGAGATGATGTCTCTGTTTGTAGGTGTCCGAGCGATAAACAACACTGTAAGGGGAGATAATGTGTCTGAACTGTTTGTAGGTATTCTAGAGATACATAACACTGTAAGGGGAGATAATGTCTCTGTTTGTAGGTATCCGAGAGATACACAACACTGTAAGGGGAGATAATGTCTCTGTTTGTAGGTATCCGAGCTATAAACAATACTGTAAGGGGAGATAATGTGTCTGAACTGTTTGTAGGTATTCTAGAGATGCATAACACTGTAAGAGGAGATAATGTCTCTGTTTGTAGGTATTCTAGAGATACACAACACTGTAAGGGGAGATAATGTGTCTGAACTGTTTGTAGGTATTCCAGAGATACATAACACTGTAAGGGGAGATAATGTGTCTGAACTGTTTGTAGTTATTCTAGAGATACATAACACGGTAAGGGGATATAATGTGCCTGAACTGTTTGTAGTTATTCTAGAGATACATAACACGGTAAGGGGAGATAACGGGTCTGAACTGTTTGTAGGTATTCTAGAGATACATAACACTGTAAGGGGAGATAATGTCTCTGTTTGTAGGTATCCGAGAGATACACAACACTGTTTGGGGATGATGTCTCTGTTTGTAGGTATTCTAGAGATACACAACACTGTAAGGGGAGAAGCTGTCTCTGTTTGTAGGTATCCGAGAGATACACAACACTGTAAGGGGATGATGTCTCTGTTTGTAGGTATCCGAGAGATACATAACACTGTAAGGGGAGACAATGTCTCTGTTTGTAGGTATCCGAGAGATACATAACACTGTAAGGGGAGATAATGTCTCTGTTTGTAGGTATCCGAGAGATACATAACACTGTTTGGGGATGATGTCTCTGTTTGTAGGTATTCTAGAGATACATAACACTGTTTTGGAATGAAGTCTCTGTTTGTAGGTATCCGAGAGATACATAACACCGTAAGGGAAGATACTGTCTCTGTTTGTAGGTATCCGAGAGATACACAACACTGTAAGGGGATAGAATGTCTCTGTTTGTAGGTATCCGAGAGATACACAACACTGTAAGGGTAGATAATGTCTCTGTTTGTAGGTATCCGATATATATATATATATCCACCACTGTAAGGGGAGAGACTGTCTCTGTTTGTAGGTATCCGAGAGATACATAACACCGTAAGGGGTGATACTGTCTCTGTTTGTAGGTATCCGAGAGATACATAACACTGTAAGGGGAGATACTGTCTCTGTTTGTAGGGATCCGAGAGATACATAACACTGTTTCGGGAGGATGTCTCTGTTTGTAGGTATTCTAGAGATACATAACACTGCTTGGGGATAATGTCTCTGTTTGTAGGTATCCGAGAGATCCACAACACTGTAAGGGGAGATAATGTCTCTGTTTGTAGGGATCCGAGAGATACATAACACTGTTTCGGGAGGATGTCTCTGTTTGTAGGTATTCTAGAGATACATAACACTGTTTGGGGATAATGTCTCTGTTTGTAGGTATCCGAGAGATACATAACACTGTTTTGGGATGAAGTCTCTGTTTGTAGGTATCCGAGAGATACATAACACTGTAAGGGGAGATGATGTCTCTGTATGTAGGTGTCCGAGCGATAAACAACACTGTAAGGGGAGATAATGTGTCTGAACTGTTTGTAGGTATTCTAGAGATACATAACACTGTTTGGGGATAATGTCTCTGTTTGTAGCTATCCGAGAGATACACAACACTGTAAGGGGAGATACTGTCTCTGTTTGTATGTATCCGAGAGATACTTAACACTGTAAGGGGAGCCAATGTCTCTGTTTGTAGGTATCCGAGAGATGCACAACACTGTAAGGGGTGATAATGTCTCTGTTTGTAGGTATCCGAGAGATACACAACACTGTAAGGGGAGATAATGTCGTTGCTGTCTTTTCATTAGTTTGTTCTGTGAACAGGTACATGAACACTATCCAGATACTGTGTGGGAGCAGTATGATGAGAATGGGCGCCAGGAAAGACGGCGGCTGGGACGTCTGTCCGAACGACCGCTATCTACAAAGGAACAACTGCCTAGTATACTCATTTGGGTAAGATTTTATCAGGAATCACATCAACTTGATTACATTCGTTTCACAGCAGGAGTAGTGACATACTGTATTGTTACGCTGTGGATCTTGAAGAATAAAATTAATCCATTGATCATTTTTGAAGATCCTTTTCTCAAAAATGTTTCTTGTATTCGAACATTTGACTGTTCGACTATATACACTAACATACAACATATACAGAGGCTTTCGTATTTCTCTAAAGACGAATGGCGATACAAATTAATGATTATAAATTAAATTTGAGTATATTTTGTGAAATACACGACTACGGCCAAGCTGAAATAGAAAGAGAATTGAAGCATAAAAAGCGTCACGTGACAATTCGATTTTTTGATCATGAACTTTCTCTTTCTGAACAGTAACACTCCTACATCCAAACTTAGGGAATAAGCATGACGCAGATGACTCGACAATTAATTGCTTGCTTTGAATATAACGATTTTCGGGACATAGTTGTCGACGCCTTGACAAAAGGCTTCGAGAGAAGCGCGATGATGAACACTATGGACAGGTGTGCTATTGCCCCCATCCCTTTTGTATAATTACTTTCGTTTTGCTATATAAAGGTCGGTGCTTTATTCCGTTGTCATTTCTCCGTTTCTCACTTTCTGGACGCAACGATACATCGATTTACCTAGATTTACATGGCTGGTGTCGTGCATGAAGCAAAAGACATTTACTTTTCCGGAATATTAAATCTCATTATCATTATACATCTGTCAAGGAAAATCGCCATGTAGATATTATTTTTTGTTCATCCTCTGTTCCATTTTCATAAAGACTGAGCTCGAAATACATTTGATGAAAATACGATATTGATAAATACATGCACTAAGGCAAACTCTGTTACGTTGAAATTTGTATTACAAAATCCTTGGTGAGTCACTCCTGTTGTACGACACAAGCATATTCCTTTCGGGGGGTTCTATTATACAAGTTCCTTAAGTTATACGAATACATCGTTTATATGATTGATTGCGTTTGCAATTTGTTTACAAAAAAAAATCAGATAGTTTGCTTGAAATGCCTTTTTATGCTTAGGTTTTCTGAAACTGAAAATTTCATTGAATTGCATACATGTATGTATGAACTGTCTAAATCATCTCTGTTTTACATCCTTTCCAAAATCGAGTATTGTACAACATTAAAAAGCAATAATCATAAAAAGGTTATTGCTGTTTTACAAAAATAGATTTAATGTAAGCTGTATGCATTCGTTTTACATATAATAACTAGGTGACGCTATTGATTGGTCTTTATGTGTACAAACAGTAATACTATCCCTAGTTACATGTAGCTAGGTGTTTAACTCAAACCCATCGTATCATGTCGGACCTTTGTTGTCCACTTTGGAGTGATAATTGGGTCTAAATTAATTGGTTCAGAAATAACATAAATGCATGAAATATGATGACTTATAAAACGATAAATAATACACAATGTTGTCATGTTGAATTCCCAAACGGATATGTATGCTTATCATCTACTTTGGTATTTATTACAGGATCTGTAACGACTTCAGTTTTGATGATGAAATAGCGCAGCAGTATGGATGTAAAGTGTATTCGTTTGATCCAAGGTAAAGTATAATACTGCAACACTAGGAATGTTAAGTGTGCCCGTACGATTCAAGGTTAAACATATTTCAATTTCTACTCAAGTAGGACTCAATGCAATTACCAAATGTTACCTGTTTGATTTGCCCATGAAATTGACCAGATTCACATTGCCTGTGCGTACAGTATGAAAACGCGTCAAAAAACTTATATTTTAAAATATGTGTTTTGTTTCTTCATAATTTGGCTGTATTGCGCTATCAGCGTACACCATCATGTTGTATGACGATCCTTTAATGACGGACTACATTACATTACAGTACATTACACTACATTACATTACAGTACATTACATTACATTACAGTACATTACATTACATTACATTACATTACATTACAGTACATTACATTACACTACATTACATTACAGTACATTACATTACATTACAGAACATTACATTACATTACATTACATTACATTACATTACAGTACATTACATAACACTACATTACAGTACATTACAGTACAGTACATTTCATTACATTACAGTACATTACATTACAGTACATTACACTGCACTACATTACAGTACAGTCAGTACAGTACAGTACAGTACAGTACATTACATTACAGTACATAACATTACATTACATTACACTACATTACATTTCAGTACATTACATTACAGTACATTACATGACACTACATTACAGTACATTACAGTACAGTACATTTCATTACATTACAGTACATTACATTACATTACATTACACTGCACTACATTACAGTACAGTCAGTACAGTACAGTACAGTACAGTACATTACATTACATTACATGACACTACATTACAATACAGTACAGTACATTACATTACAGTACATTACATTACATTACAGTACAGTACAGTACAGTACAGTACATTACATTACACTACATTACAGTACAGAACAGTATATCACAGTACATTACAAAACATTACATTACATTACAGTACATTATATCACATTACATTACATTACAGTACATTACAGTACATAACAGTACATTACATTACATGACATTACATTACAGTACATAACATTACATTACATTACAGTACATTACATTACAGTACAGTACATTACAGTATATCACATTACATGACAGTACAGTACATTATAGCACATTACATTACAGTACATGACATTACATTACAGTACATTACAGTACATAACAGTACATAACAGTACATTACATTACAGTAAATACATTACAGTATATTACATTACAGTACATTACATTACAGTACTTTATATTACAGTACATTACAGTACATTACATTACATTACATTACAGTATATTACATTACAGTACAGTACAGTAGATTATAGCACATTACATTACAATACAGTACAGTACATTACAGTATATTACATTACATTCCATTACAGTACATTACCTTACAGTACTTTACATTTCAGTACATTACATTACTGTACACTACATTACATTACATTACAGTACATTACATTAAAATATATTACATTACAGTTCATTACACTACATTACATTACATTACGTCATTATGTAGACTTCGGATGTCATTACATTTATTACAAGACCAGCTCCATTCATCACCTCATGAAATCAGGATTTAGTCCTTAAATATAAGAATATCATTGTGTCGTTTTATATCTGTCTAGTTTGGATACCTAGTGTGATTTAAAGGACGTTGCCTTCATAGATGTTCTACACTCACTAGTATTTTTGTATTCATGTTGGAAATAGCCAAACAGTATGGATTCAAAATACACTTGGTTTATTAATATTACAAACACATAGGGACACGGTACGGATTTAAAATACGCTTGTTTAATTGAAATTAAGATATACAAAGGGGGATGGTGTGGATCCAAAGTACGCTTGTTTGATTTGGTCATGTGTTATACCCCTGCTGAAGCCACTGCATGCATTAAAATATGTAAATATATTCAAACAAACCGGATTGTTAGATGTATCATGGTTTTAACTTAAACCATTTGTGTTCTTAATAGAAAGGTTTGCATAAGCTATTTTGTAGATTTATAAATTCAATTGCGCTTGAGTGCACATTTAATGGGAAGAGAAAATAACAGAAACCAAGAGAAAATGATAAACAACAGCCATGTTGTGATTAATAAAAAAAAAATTGCGACTTTAAGCCGAAAATGTTGCAAGGTGTGTGAAAGCTGGATGATCACTATTCAGTACATAATTTAGATATTAATGCACAGTATATAGTTAAATGGAATGTGTATGAATAATGCTTCAAAACGTGAACAAAACAAATGTTGTCCGCACGATTTTTCATCATTCCCAAAGCAACACTCTTCATTTAGCTAAATGAAAGGCTTAATGTTTACATGTATTGCCCTTTAAGTAGGGAACCATGATCCGTTGCACTAGATTAATCATGTTGCGCACGGTTTGTGCCTTTGTTAAACGTGACAAATATCGGGTATTCAAAGAGTTGCTCCTTTCCACAAGGGACATGAACAATGTTTCTTCTGTAATAAAACAAAATTACACAAAAGTACAGATGATCAGGGCTGTCGTCTTCTTAAGTCACTCGGAACTCTTGGGTGGTTTCTCTTGTCTATTTCTCTAGAGAAGCTAAAAATAAGGAAGAAACGACTGAAGAAACTCGAGCACATGAGGACGACACGATGATTTATATCCGCGTCATGTGATCAATATTCTCCAATCAGAAACGCTGTTTTATAGATGACGTATAATAAAATTTGTTATTGAAAGTAACTCGATCGTTCTTGTACTGAATGCAACCTATTATCTCGACTGTCTCATCATTTAAAAGCAGTTAGTTCATATATGTTACTGAGCCACGTCTTCTTGACTAGATTATTGTAGGCAAGAAACGTTATTTATATAAGGACAACTTTTTCCTTACAAACTTTCTATTGTATTCCAGCATGAAGAAAAAGGATCACATCCGGAGCCAGAAACCTTTCGTGTCTTTTCATGCTACAGGTCTGTCCGACTTTAACGGTACAAGTAATGACAGAAATCGCTGGAAGATGAGGACGCTGTCAGGCATTCGACAGGACCTAGGACATACACAGGTGTGTGGAGACTGCGTTAACCTTGACAGAACACGTCACATGTTTGTCGATATTTTATAATGGAATGTATCACGTGAATAACAACATTGGGAAAATAAAATGACAAAGGCTTGGAGCTTGAATTTCTATTTAATACAATATATTCCGATCTAAGATATTCGAAAATGATACACTCAAACATTGAACAGTTCTAATTTTCCAAGTAACTTGTTTTCGTCTTTTTTTATTTTTTTATTACAAAAACCACATTTCTATTTCGGCTGTTATAAATCGATTGCTTTTCCCTATTGAATAATTATAGAACGAACGTAGTTATTCAATAACGCTGTAATAGATCTATTTGACATACAGGTACCGACGATTGTTCAATTTCGGTCAAACAGTTGTAAACAGAAGTGTATTTTATACTACTGTGACAGATGACTCTCTCTATATTACTGCAACTGTAGTTGATATTTTCATCGTGTTTTGTTTTGTTTTTAACCTACTCAGATGCCACCATACTATTGCAGCCCCATGCCAAAATAACAAAACTTACATTAAAATATTTATTAAACATATACTGTAATATCTTAATAATCTTAATAAGAGTTCATGTATTTATTGGTTTATTTAACATTTACTACAGCGTGTTTTTATTATTTATACAGACGATGCCTGATATCCTGAAGATGGATATAGAATTCTCCGAATGGAACGCTCTACCTGACATTTTGCACAGCACGCCCACAAACGATCTTCCTAATCAGCTGATTGCTGAATTCCACTACTTTGTATTTAAAACGGACCTCAAAACCCACTGGCTCAGGGTGTTGTTTACTTTAAAAGATTTGTACGATGTAGGCTATCGAATAGGGTGGATTTCAAGAAATATTGATAGTAATTGCATTAAAAAATCTGCATCAACAGGTAAAATGTATTATTTGTGTCATGAAGTGACATTTCTTAAAGAAAATCCTTCTGCTGCCAAACACCATGATTAACTTTATTTTAACTTTCCTAAGTTTCATGTTATGTTGATAAACGGGAATTGCCAATATCTCATTTGTTTATTTACGTCTTTAGCATCTTTTAAGGAATAAGTTTATTGCTTTTCATACGCCCGTCGTCCGACGGGTCATATTATGGTATGGGCTGCGTTGTCCGATGACCGTCCGTTAACTTTTCCTTGTCATCCATCTCCTGCCTTCATTCATGAACATATCTTGATGACACTTGTTACACATATTGCACACCAATATAACTTGAACGAGTTTGCATTTCAAAAGTTTCGATCAATTCCTTTCAAATTGTATAGGGTAATGCTAGAAGCAATAATGTTCAACATATATTAAGGGCTTTTCTGTCGAGTTTTAACTTTCTGCGTTTTGGCGTATCACACTTGATATAGCAACACTGTACTTCATTTTTGCCGTTAACTTTTGCTTGTTTACACGATAACTCAAACAATTGTTCTCGTTTCATTACCTGAATGCTTTGAATGTGCATTTAAACGGTATTCGGCAGAGTTATGCCCCTTTTTCATTGCCAAGTAAAGGCATTCCGTCAAAAATTTAAGAACTTTTTTTTTATTTTTTTGTTCAAGAGTCCTACCTTAAAGCCAAGGTTTTAGTTTTAGTAATAGCAACATTGAGTATAAAGTGTAATTCTGAAACACAAAATAGCTAGCGCCATAAACACAGTTAATGAATGGCAAGGTCACAGTCACCAGCAAAACGGTGGCGGTAAACACATTTTTATCATATGTCACTACCTGTTTCCAATATATCAATACCCCTCCGAGGAGACTGACGAACGTATCATGCTTCCGCTCGCGGTGCTCTTGTATCTACTATTAATGCCACCAAACGGTGCTGTAAGGCTATGTGTCGCACGCATGTGCGCGTCATACAATGTCCCTGGTCATACACATTTTGCTTATTGTTAAAATAGTTTGATCGATTGCAAATCTTCTTTTTACTATATATACGGATTGGGTTTTATGATATTATAATTAATAATGCATAGCCTGGGTAATACATAGTTGACTAATTATAACTATGTACTTTAAGACCTCTTTCTGTTTCTTCCCTTAAGATGACCATTCAGTCCCAGTATGATAATAGGTAGTATTTTCATACACTAGGTGAACGAAAGTAGTCAACCAATCAGTACATGTAAAGTTACGAAGATTTTAGCAATACAGATTTCTGTTGAATGATAACTTGTTCTAACGAAAGAATAACACATGCGTACCTGTTTTTATATTTTATTTATTTTATTTGTTCATGAATTTATTTGACGAAGCATTTCAAAATAAAAATACATACTTATCTCTAATTTAGTATGTTGTATGTTGACACTCATTCCAGTACGGCGTGCCCTAACCTACCTCTAATGTGCACAGATCAAATTGAACTACCATTTCGGGAAAGTTGTGCAGTTCGGCAAGGATTAATTGAGCATGGTGTCCCGGGCTCATACCTTTAAATGACCCGGAGGCAATCAATTTATACATAGCGTAAAAACGTACATTTTAGACAATAATCATGGCAAATAGTTAGCTTATGCATTCATGGTTTGGGGTGCCGGAACTATTTGGGTTTTTATAGACTTGGTCAACACTAGATGCATTATAAAGCACATCTTATTTTGTTGTATATGTGCCTGTACATTCGTATTTCAAATAATTTCTTAATGACTTTCATTTATTATACAACGCTAAACCTAAATAAAATGCTAGTGAAGCAACTCAAAAACTTGTCTAGAACTACATGTACTTATTCAAAAATCTGAAGCTGCCTTGAGCTTGAGTACTTAATAGGAATACGGCTTAGAATGGCATTGGTGAGAACAACAGAGACAGCTTAATACAAAATCTTCAGTTTGATCGTGACAAATGTTACATGAGTGTGTTTTACATATTAAAAAAACAACAAATACATGTACATATCACATTAGAAGCATGTACCACAGAAGATATGCTAGGTATTTATTGTCTCCCCAGTAACAAGATATTGTACTATTCAATAAAACAGTATTTTTACACAGGTTTTTATATTCATAGCTGTAAAGTCATCGTTCGTTTGAATATATAGATATTTAATATGGTGTGTTGAAATGGCGGTATATTTATCTGTCTGGTTGGATAGACTTGGTGGTATATTTATCAGTCTGGTTGTGTTGAATTAGTGGTATAGTTATCTGTCTGGTTGTGTAGACTTGATGGTATATTTATCTGTCTGGTTGTGTAGACTTGGTGGTATATTTATCTGTTTGGTTGTGTAGACATGGTGGTATATTTATCTGTCTGGTTGTGTAGACTTGGTGGTATATTTATCTGTCTGGCTGTGTTGACATGGTGGTATATTTATATGTCTGGTTGTGTAGACTTGGTGGTATATTTATCTGTCTGGCTGTGTTGACATGGTGGTATATTTATATGTCTGGTTGTGTAGACTTGGTGGTATATTTATCTGTCTGGCTGTGTTGACATGGTGGTATATTTATATGTCTGGTTGTGTAGACTTGGCGGTATATTTATCTGTCTGGCTGTGTTGACATGGTGGTATATTTATATGTCTGGTTGTGTAGACTTGGTGGTATATTTATCTGTCTGGCTGTGTTGACATGGTGGTATATTTATATGTCTGGTTGTGTAGACTTGGCGGTATATTTATCTGTCTGGCTGTGTTGACATGGTGGTATATTTATATATCTGGTTGTGTAGACTTGGTGGTATATTTATCTGTCTGGTTGTGTTGACATGGTGATGGCGAATGTATATAAGTGACTCGGGCTAATGCGACAGATGATCGTGTATGTGTGTTATTGTCTATTTAGTGTGAGGAGAGAGGACCAGGATCCATCTTTGTATTAACATGTATAAGTATGAGTGACAGATGGGAAGGTACAGGTGTACATTAATATTGAATATCAAAAATGAAAGTGAGTTCAAATGTTTTATTATATGCATGAACATTTCTCGGAATCACATTGGTCGGATCATATACACGTGACCAGTCCTCAAAAACTCATGTAGACTGGTTACTCCAACAATGTTAGAGGTTTTACACGGCGAAAAACTTTTGACAGGCGCCGCGTAACCTCTAACTGCCCATAGCTGATTTTCCCGATGCTGACTATCACATTTTCAAAGTTCGGATTAAGAAAGAGTATATCATGTTTACATACATTTAAATGGTCAAAAGGGTCCAATAAATATTCCTTTCCATAAATCCATGATTATATGAGAAAAATTTCATGTCAAAGACATAAATAATGAGTTTTTCCTCATTCGAAGCGAAGCAGACAGCATTTGCCATGATTTTTCCGGTTAATACAAAAATGGATTACATGTAATGTTTCACAAGCGGAATACAAACAAACTCCGTATCATTTCGTTCCGTTTGAAATCCCCCCTGATATTTTGTATTAATCCAGAAGCCATGTTTTAAATGTAGGTCAGAGATGTGCTACAACGACATGGACATGTATTTTGAGTGTTCTATTCCGTAATATACTATATATTTGTGTCTGTGACATATATATGAGATCTATATTATATAAACCGTGAGTAGACATCGTTGTCATGAACTGTTAACCACTTATGTGAGTTTTTCAAGCCGATTTTGTTCCGCCCGGATTTCGGGCGGAAACTGCATCAAAGAATTAGTGCTTCGGAAATGAGAGGTCGCAGTCGGCAAAATCATATCCGATTGAAAAAAGGCCGACCAGCGGCCTCTCATGTTATGGGAGTAGTAGACTGGTTATCCGGTGAATATCGATTTCTAAATATAGCATATGTGGAAATTCCCCAGAACCTGTCGTAGCGCATGCGCAGGTAGACCGGAAAGCGATCTGTCAGACGACATTAGAAGATGGCTGCTGGCGAACGTTTCTACTCCATTATACAGAAAAATTACCCAAACTATTCGAGGATAAATATGCTGTTAACATAAAAAAAGGCCATTGAACACACAGTGCATGTCCTCCATGCTTATCTTAAGAAAAATAATCTAGACGATGTCTTCGAAAGCTACAATGCTGAACTGTTGAATTCAACACTGGCTTATTTTACGCGGAGGCTCGCGTACAAAAATCAGAACCTTGAGTTTTGTTTTGTTTTGTTTTATTGTTGAAGCATTTAATAAAACATTTATGGGCTTTTGTGCTGGTGAATATGATGTGATATGAACCTGAAAGAGTGATATTGACCGAGGCAAATCAATATCGCCATAGTAAGAATTCAACTGATATAAAAAAAATAGGACAATGATACATAAAGTGGTCTCTTGATTAATGTTATTCGATCATACGTACACATTAGTTAGCGGAAGCATACAGAGCAGTCTACTACACAGTGGTGGTATAGCTTCTACTACACACTGGTGGTATATCTTCTACTACACAGTGGTGGGATAGCTTCTGCCACACACTGGTGGTATAACTACTGCTACACACTGGTGGTATAACGTCTACCACACAGTGGTGGTATAACTTCTACTATACACTTGTGGTCTAACATCTGCTACACACTGGTGTCATAACTTCTACTACACACTGGAGGTATAACTTCTACTACACTTTGGTGGTATAACTTCTACACACTGGTGGTATAATTTCTACTTTACACTGGTGGTATAACTTCTCCTACACAGTGGTGGTATAGGTTCTACTACTCACTGATGGTATGACTTCTACTATACACTTGTGGTCTAACATCTGCTACACACTGGTGTCATAACTTCTACTACAAACTGGTAGTATAACTTCTACTTTACACAGATGGTATAACTTCTACGACACAGGGGTGGTATAACTTCTACTACACTTTGGTGGTATAACTTCTACTACACAGTGGTGGTATAGGTTCTACTACTCACTGATGGTATTACTTCTACTATACACTTGTGGTCTAACCTCTGCTACACACTGGTGTCATAACTTCTACTACACACTGGTAGTATAACTTCTACTTTACACAGATGGTATAACTTCTACTACACACTGGTGGCATAACTTCTACTACACACTGATGGTATAACATCAGCTACACACTGGTGGTATAACTTCTTCTACACACTGGTGGTATAACTTCTACTTTACACTGATGGTATAACTTCTACTATACACTTGTGGTCTAACCACTGCTACACACTGGGCGTATAACTTCTACACATTGATGGTATAACTTCTACTTCACACTGGTGGTATAACTTCTGCCACACACTGATGGTATAACTTCTTCTACACACTGGTGGTATAACTTTTTCTACACAGTGGTGGTATAACCTCTACTACACAGTGGTGGTATAACTTCTACTACACACTGGTGGTATAACTTCTACTACACACTGGTGGTATAACTTCTACCACACAGTGGTGGTATAACTTCTACTACACACCAGTGGTAGAACTTCTACTACACACCTATGGTAGAACTTCTACTTCACACTGGTGGTATAACTTCTGCCACACACTGATGGTATAACTTTTACTACACACTGGTGGTATAACTTCTACTTAACACTGATGGTTTATCTTCTACTACACACTGGTGGTATAACTTCTACTTTACACTTGTGGTCTAACCACTGCTACAAACTGGTGATATAACTTCTACACACTGATGGTATAACGTCTACTACACACTGATGGTATAACCTCTGCTACACACTGGTGTTATAACTTCTACTACACACTGATGGTATAACTTTTACTACACACTGGTGGTATAACCTCTACTACACACTGGTGGGAATAACTTTTGCTACACAATGGTGGTATAATTTCTACTACACTGGTGATATAACTTCTACTACACAACGATGGTATAACTTGTACCACACACGGGTGGTAAACAAATTAACTACTGAGTGGTGATATAACTTCTACCATACATTTGTGGTGAACTTTTACTACACATTGGTGATACAGCTATTGCTACACACTTTTAGATTGATCACCAGACTAATATATATGAGGATTTGGTAAATGAATAAGATAAGGTGTCCTGTACTATTACTATCAGACTAGGTGATTTCATGGAATGGGTTTAACAAATATGATATTTGTTTTTTTACAGATCACAAACAAGACGTTAGAAAAACAGAAGATAGAAGATGGAATGTTCGTATGGTAAATGTTCGCTAAGACTACACCTAGTGTCAACCTTCCTGTTTCTTACACTTTGTTCTGGTCTGATGCTGTTGTATCAGGTAAGACAACGCACAATCATATATATATATATATATATATACACGGCAGAAATTGTATACATATATATCATTGTGGAATTATAAGATGATAGTACAGAATAATGT